ATTCACTTAAGAATGAACCCCGTTTTTGCACATACATGCATACGTTAAATGAATTCAATTTCAGTGTGCAACCCGTTTTTGTACACACCTCAATGGCAAAAACAGACTCTACATTAGAGTGTTATTCGTTTTTGCACACATCAATACATTGAAAAAAGAGTGCAACCCGTTTTTGTACACATCTATATAGCCAGAATAGACTTTTTTATAAGAGTGTTACCCGTTTTTGCACAAACCTATATACCCTAAAATCAGTTAATTTAACAGTGTATTCCGTTTTTGTACACATCTAAATACACTTGATAGATGCACTTAAAGAGTGCAACCCGTTTTTGCACACGTATAAATACCTTATATAGGTAAAATCTAAGAATGCAACCCGTTTTTGTACACACCATATAGCCAAAATAGATTGTATATAAGTATGTAACCCGTTTTGCACAGGCCTATATACCTTAAATGGATTCTGTTTAAGAGTGCAACCCGTTTTTGTACACACCTATATAGCCAAAAAAGATCGATATTAACATTGACATAAAGACTTTAACCAGTTTTTGCACACACCTATATAACCAAAAGAGATTCAATTAAGAGCGCAGCCCGTTTTTGTACACCCTGCATGGCCAAAATAGACCCTACATAAGAGCGTGACCCGTTTTTTGCACACATAAATACATTGAATTGATTCTATTTAAGGGTGCAACCCGTTTTTGTACACACCTTTAAAGCCAAAAAAATGGGTATAAGACTGTAACCCGTTTGTGCACACACCTTTATACAATTCAAGAGTGCAACCCGTTTTTGTACACATCTATATACACTTGACACATACAATTGAAGAGTGCAACTCGTTTTAGCACACACCTTTATACCGTAAAGAGATTCAATAGAGGAGTGCAAGCTGTTTTGTACACATCTATATACACTTGATACATACAATTTAAGAGTGCAACCCGTTTTTGTACACACCTTCATGGCCAACATAGACTCTACATAAGAGTGTAACCCGTTTTTGCACATATACATACATTAAATTGATTCAATTTAAGAGTGCAACCCGTTTTTGTACACAACTATATAGCCAAAAAAGATTGTTTATTAGAGTGTAACCCGTTTTTGTACACATCTTTATACCGTAAAGAGATTCAATTTAAGAGTGTAACCCGTTTTTGCACATATAAATACTTTGAGAATTGATTCAATTTAAGAGTGCAACCCGTTTTTGTACACAACTATATAGCCAAAAAAGATTGTTTATAAGAGTGTAACCCGTTTTTGTACACATCTATATACCGTATAGAGATTCAATTCAAGAGTGTAACCCGTTTTTCTACACATATGTATACATTTGATACATACAATTTAAGAGTGTTACCCGTTTTTGTACATACATATATACCCTAAAGAGATTAAATTTAAGAGGGCAACCCGTTTTTGTTCACATCTATATACATTTCATTTTGATAATTACAAATTAAGAATGTAACCCGTCTTTGTTCACACCTATATACATTTGATAATTACAATTTAAGAATGTAACCCGTTTTTGTTCACATCTATATACATTTAATAATTACAATTTAAGAATGTAACCCGTTTTTGCACACATTAATATACCCTAAATAGAATCATTTAGGAGAGCAACGCGTTTTTGTACACATCCATATACATTTATAATTACATTTTACGAATGTAACCCGTTTTTGCACACATCAATATAGCCTTAAGAGATTCAATTTAAGAAATAAACCCGTTTTTGCCCACATCAATCAAGAGATTCTTTAAGACACTCTTAAATTGTATTTGTCAAATGTGTATAGATATGTACAAATACGGGTTACATTCTTAAACTTATATAGGTATGTGCAAAAACGGGTTACATTCTTAAATTCAATCTCTTTAAGGTATATTGATGTGGGCAAAAATGGGTTACACTGTTAAATTGAATCTCTTTAGGCTATATTGATGTGTCCAAATACGGGTTACATTCTTAAATTGTAATTAACAAGTGTATACAGATGTGTACAAAAAGAGGTTACACTCTTAAATTGTAATTATCAAATGTATATAGATGTGTACAAAAACGAGTTGCCCTCTTAAAGCAGCACGCCTCCAGATTCATGTTAAATTTCATGAAAATTTTGATAATGTATTTGACAGTAAAATATTGTGAGGTGAACAAATAAAGTTATTTACATATTGCAATTGGCACTTACAATCCATGCAAATAACCAAAAAGAGGTCAAAATGTGCAAAAAAGCCCTTACTGCGTTAGTAACGCAGTAGAAATATGGTGATAAAATACTGCAAAATCAGTCTTAAATCGCAAATAACATGTAAACTTTAACATTGATCTTGATTGTTTTTACCTTTCTTGAAATATTAGTACATTTTTCTCAATTTTCATTTTCTTGAAATATTTTGGCTCATCTGGAGGCGTGCAGCTTTAAATGGAACCTCTTTAGGGTATATATGTATGTACAAAAACGGGTAACACTCTTAAATTGTATGTATCAAATGTATACATATGTGTACAAAAACGGGTTACACTCTTAAATTGAAAATCTTTAGGGTAAATTGATGTGTGCAAAAACGGGTTACATTCTTAAATTTAATCTATATTAGGTATTTATACTTATGCAAAAAACGGGTTGCACTTTTAAATTGTTTGTATCAAGTGTATTTAAGATTTGTACAAAAACGAGTTACTCTCTTATACTCAATCTTTTTTTTTTTGGTTATATACCTGTGTACAAAAACGGGTTGCACTCTTAAAGTTACATGTATGAGGTGTATAAAGATGTTTACAAAACGAGTTGCACTCTTATATACAATCTCTTTGGCTATATAGGTGTGTACAAAAACGGGTTGCACTCTTAAATTGAACCAATTCAATGCATTTTGTGTGCAAAAACGGGTTACACTCTTATGTTATGAAATTGAATGCATTTAACGTATGTGTGTATGTGTGTATGTGTGTGTGTATGTGCGTGCGTGCGTGCGTGTATGTATGTATGTACAAAAACGGGTTACACTGTTAATTGAATCTCTTTGGGGTATATAGGTGTGTGCAAAAACGGGTTACACACTTAAATACAATCTATTTTGGCTATAAAGGTGTGTACAAAAAACATGTTGCATTTTTAAATTTAATCTATATAAAGTATTGATACGAGTGCAAAAACAGGTTGCACTCTTAAAATGCAGGTACCAAGTGTATATAGATGTGTACAAAAACGGGTTACACTGTTAAATTAACTGTTGTTAGGGTATATAGGTGTGCAAAACGGGTTACACACTTAAATACAATCTAATTTGGTTAAAGAGGTGTGTACAAAAACCTGATGCATTTTTAAATGTAATCTATATAACGTATGTGTACGTGTGCAAAATCGGGTTGCACTCTTAAAGTGCGTTTAGCAAGTGTGTATGGATGTGTACAAAACGGGTAGCATTGTTAAATTAGCTGTTGTTAGGGTAAATACGTGTGTGCCAAAACGGGTAACATTCTTAGAAAGAATACATTGTGGCCATATAGATGTGTATAAAAACGGGTTGCAGTCTTGAAATGAATCCAGTTAAAGTATGTTTGTATGTGCAAAAACGGCTTACACTCTTAATTGAATCTCTTTGGTGTATACAGGTGTGTGCAAAAACGGGTTACAGTCTTATGTCTTATATACAATCTTTCTTGGCTATATAGGTAGGTACAAAAACAGGTTGCACTCTTTCATTGAATCCATTTATGGTATAAAGGTATGTGCAAAAACGGGTTACACACTTATACAATGTATACAATCTATTTTGGCTATATAGGTGTGTACAAAAACGGGTTGCATTCTTAAATTTAATCTATATAAGGTATTTAAGGTATATAGCTGTGTGCAAAAACGGGTAACACTCTTAAAAATAATCTACTCTGGCTATATAGATGTGTACAAAAACGAGTTGCACTCTTAAAATGAAGCCATTTAAGGTATATATGTATGTGCAAAAACGGGTAACACTCTATAATTTATTCTAATTAACGTGTTTTTGTATGTACAAAAACAGGTTGAATTCTTAAATCTAATCTATATACGATTTTTATACGTGTGCAAAAACGGGTTGCACTCTTAAAATTATATGTATCAAGTGTATATAGATGTGTACAAAAACGAGTTGCACTCTTGATTTGAATCTCCTTTCGGTATAAAGGTGTGTGCAAAAACGGGTTACAATTTAATATACAATCTTTTTTGGCTATATAGGTGTGTACAAAAACGGGTTGCACTCTTGACTTGAATCATTTCAATGTATTTATGTGTGCAAAAACGGATTACACTATTTTAGTGCATATATCAAGTGTATATAGATGTGAACAAAAACGGGTTACACTGTTATATTAACTGTTTTTAGGGTATACAGCTGTGTGCAAAAACGGGTTGCACTCTTAAAATGAAGCCATTTAAGGTATATTTGTATGTGTAAAACGGGTAACACTCTTTAATTTATTTTTATTAACGTGTTTATGTATGTACAAAAACAGGTTGAATTCTTAAATATAATCTATATACGGTATTTATACGTGTGCAAAAACGGGTTGCACTCTTAAATTGTATATATCAAGTGTATATAGATGTGTACAAAAACGGGTTGCACTCTAATATAGACTCTTTTTTGAGTATACAGGTGTGTACAAAAACGGGTTACACTCTTAAACGGAATCCATTAGGGTATATAGGTGTGTGCTAAAACGGGTTGCACTCTTATATAGGATTTAGTTTGGGTATATATGCATGTGCATAAATGGGTTGCACTCTAGTATTTGATATGTCAAGTGTATAAAGACGTCTACAAAAAACAGGTTGCACTCTTCAATTGACTCTGGGCAGAAATGAGTTATGACCAGTTTGGGGTAGAACAACATTTGTTGAATAGCTGGAAACAATAATTTTTTAAAGATACTTGGTATTTTACGAAATATTCTAATTTATATGATATCATCATAAAAACAAAAATTACATTTTAAACTTTTATTGGTATAATATATAAACTAGAAATTATTCCATAGTTTTGAATAATAAAATAAACAAAATATAAAGTTATCATTCATCTATGTATGAAATATGTAATAAATGATATAAAAACTATAAAATAACTATAAAACAATAATCGGTTGCCATGGCAACAAAAATATAAAAAAATACTTCAAATACAACATTATTGCATTTGACATGATTAATTCATCACCAAATTAATGTATTTAAAGACAACCAGATTTAAGACCTTTCAGAAAAAGAAAAAAATAGATTTTTCATTCTTCCCTTAATAATGTTTTAAATAACAGAATATAAACTTAAGTCTTAAATTCTCAGATTATCAGTAAGTTTTCTATGATTAAGGTGAATATCATTACTTAAGTAAGTCCTCTATAAAACTCATAGCTGTAACATGGTTGCATATACATTATTAATACAATGCAAAACATATATATTCCTTATTGCAATGATTACAAAAAAGTGTATTTTTGGTTGCCGTGGTAACAAAAATGATGCCAAAACAAGATTGCATTTGTAAAAAATGCCAAGCCACCACATTGATACAACACTCTATATTAATGTAGGAACACAATATTTTTGTTTCTATACAGATTGCCATAATGCATAGATCACTTACCTATCTAATTGTTATTATCAGATTAGTACCTTCAGACAAGAAGATTTTAAATTTTTTACTTTATGACATAGTGACTGAAAATCAATGATCCCCAGGGGCAGGGCCAATTTTGACCCCAGGGCTATAATTTGAACAATCTTGCTAGAGGTTCACTACACATTGTTTAATGCAAAATGTCTAACCTCTAGCCTTTGTCAATTAGAGAAGATGATTTTTTTAAGTTTTTACTATATACATGTAAGGAAAACCTATGACCCCTGGGCAGGCTAGTTTTGACACTAGAGACAAAATTTGAACACCTTTGGTAGAGTACCTATAGATGATATTATATACCAAATATCAAAGCTCTAAGCCTTGTACCTTCAGACAATAAGATTTTTTAATTTTTTACTATATGTACATATGTACATAGTGAAAATCAATGACCCCCCCCCCCGGGGCAGGGCCAATCTTGACCCCAGGGCTATAATTTGAACAATCTTGGTAGAGGTTCACTACACAATGTTTCATGCAATATATCTTACCTCTAGCCTTTTGTCAATTTAGAGAAGATGATTTTTTAAGTTTTTACTATATATATATTAGGAACTAGAATCAGCGAGTCGGATGTGTCGCCTTGTGAACAATATAGTTTAGAAGAAATGGCCAGGACAAAAATAAAATTTGAAAATTAACAAAGGGCAATAACTCAAAAAATAAGAAATGCAGAGTACCAGTTCTTGGGCACTGCACTTCTTCTTAATAAGATCTATCATCCTATGGAGTTTCATGTCCATAGCTTTAATACTTTAGAAGAAATAGCCTGGAGAAAAATAAAGTATGAAAATTAACAAAGGGCAATAACTCAAAAAATAAGAAATGCAGAGTACCAATTCTTGTGCACTGCATTTTTTCTTAATGAGATCTATCATCCTATGAAGTTTCATGTCCATAGCTTTTATTCTTTAGGAGAAATGGCCTGGACAAAAATAAAGTATGAAAATTAACAAAGGGCAATAACTCAAAAAATAAGAAATGCAGAGTACCAGTTCTTGTGCACTTCACTTCTTCTTAATGAGATCTATCATCCTATGAAGTTTCAAGTCTAAAGCTTTTATACTTTAGGAGAAATGGCCCGGAAAAAAATAAAGTATGAAAATTAACAAAGGCAATACCTCAAAAATTAAGAAGCGCAGAGTACCAGTTCTTGTGCACTACACTTCTTCTTAACCCTTTACCTCATATATATGCGAAACAACGCACTTTCGACCCCCCCCCCTTTTTTAGGCCTGAAATAGTGGAAAATGTCCTATTTGGGCCCCAAACACATGTTTTCGTTTGAGAAATGTTGCTAAAAAAAGTGAGCACTTTTTCGGCGCCGCCCCCCATCCAAAAGATACATCAGGGGGTTGCCAGAAGGGGGATGTGCCCCCTTCTGTTTGGGGGGTTTGAAGGGTGGCGGAGTCCCCCTCATCGCCAAGAAAATTTTGGACTTGTGAGAGGCTTAAAATGACCCCAGGTCGATCATAAGGTAACGTGTAACCAACGCTGAAAAGCCTTTGACTCTATCTCAATCCCTTGAGAAGTTACAGCACTTTGAAATAAATTTTGATGGAAAAAATCGAGGCAAAATAGTGATTTTTGGCAATTTTGAGATGTCCCCTCGTTGCCATGGTAACAGGAAATTTAAGACTGAGCATGTCGTTACAAAGGCAATGGTCCAGTCAACATTTGTGCCAAGTTTGATTAGTATTGAAGCATTTTTTATAGTTTCATAGCAGTTTGAACTTGTAAGAGGAGTGAAAATGGCCATTTTTCACAATATGCTCATGGGGGAAAGGGTTAATGAGATCTATCATCCTATGAAGTTTCAAGTCCATAGATTTTATAATTAAGGAGAAATGGCCCGGACAAAAATAACGTATGAAAATTAACAAAGGGCAATAACTCTAAAAATAAGAAATGCAGAGTACCAGTTCTTGTGCACTGCACTTCCTGTCATTATAAGAAGCATGCATACCAAGTTTGAAGTTAATCCGACTTATAATGACTGACTTATGCTCCGGACAAGCTTAAGGGGACACCGACGCCGACACCGACAACAACACCGATGCCGCCGACAAAAGTAACCCCTATTTGTTGCCTTTTTTAAGGCGACACAAAAATTATGACCCCCAGGGCGGGGCTAGACACTAGACACTAGAGGCAAAATTTGAAAACTTTGGTAGAGTACATTTAGATGATATCATATACCAAATATCAAAGCTCTAAGCTTGTACTTTCAGACAAGAAGGTATTTTAAGTTTTTACTATATGTACATATAGTGAAAATCAATGACCCCTGGGGCGAGTGAAATTTTGAGCCAAGGGCTATAATTTGAACAATCTTGGTAGCGGTCTACCAGACAATGCCTTATGCAAAATATCTATGCTCTAGGCCTTGTGGGTCTTTACAAGAAGATTTTTAAATTTATCCTTATAATTCCTTTTGGTTGCCATGGCAACCAGATTTCTGCATGGAATGAAATTCTTTGAACAACTTGTCAAGTTTGGTTGAAATTGGACTATTGGTTTTTCACAAGAAGATTTTTTAAGTTCACTATATAATCTATATAACACACAAACACACACACAGGTGAATCGCTATATGCCACCGCATCACTGATGCTGCGGTGGCATAAAAACTGTATAATTAAAAATAATAATGGCATTTCATAGAAGTAAACCATATTAAATATCTCTATTCACAATAACCTTAAAGGTCTTTCAGAGTTTGCACTATTTTCCTGACTATATTTTCAGTTACAGATATTGACTGTGTAATCATATTCAGTCTTTTTTAAACTGTATAATATGAATAAATTAACAAATTAGTATATTCTTTAATTGAAATAATTTCTATAAACAATTATTAAATATAGACGAACAGAATCCCCAAAGAATGCCAAGAACAACAAAATTGACAATGTTTCAGGCTCGGTTTTATTGAGTTTGTTCATGGACGGTAATGGAAAGTGTAAGTTACCACCCAACCCCCTAGCACCTGCTTAAGCGGAATTCAACATTTAAATATGAGAACAGTGAAATTTTGAATTTAGAAACATCTACAGATATTAAAACCATATTCTTGCAAACACATGGAAAGTCACAAATGACAGCTAACTTATGTCTTTGTACTTGGCAACCTAGTCTTGCAAAGTTCTCATCCAGTTTGTGGGTTTGAGCCAAACAAGGTAACATCAATCATGTTTACTCTTATGCCTCCAGTTATTGAGTAGAAAGTGATTTATAAACTTGCAAAACTTGTTTTACAATCAAGTAAAAATACTATTGAATCTGCCACTGCAGTATTCAGCTTTTTCACTAATTCACCTTTGGCATACTGTCAAACATAGACAAGTCATTGACTTCTCACATGCCATCCTGAAAAAAAAATCTGGAATAAGTCTTAATGAAACAATGAATTGTATATGATGATTTGACTGAACAGATATAAACTACAAGTACATTGTTGTATGATATTGCACAGCTATTAGGTTCATATAAGTTCTTGTGTAATATATTAAAGTCTATATATCATGTAGCATTTAACATGATCAAAATAATCTAAATCTACATTATATACATGTATTGTGATGATGACACCTCATTTTTTATTTCATCAAATAAAGGAAATTTAATATGGAATACTGAATAAATATAGATATGATAAAATCATTACATACTTACCCAAATGAATTTTTTCTTTATCTTGACCAATACTGTACAGATAATACAAATTGATCCTCTTTTTTACTGCTCAATAGAACATAGATGTCACACATTTTGCCTCATTTCCAACAATAGTTTAGTACATTCACCAGCAAATAGATTAAATATCTATGTGTCCTGAAAATTATGTATACAGTATATACTTTAATATTAACATTATTTTCAATACATATAAAATGAAAGAGTATTTTGAATATATCACAATGCAGCATTATTTCTTAATTTAAACTTAAAATTTAGTTCCTTTTACTACAGTAGGCCTGCAGAGTTTTTAAATTTTAAAACAATAGTTTTAAGATCTCATGATCATCTCTAAAAATGTTAAATTGATAACAAGTTAAATTTGTTTTCAACTGCAATTCAGGAAATCTATCATTATCATTATTTGATAACAAGGGTTGAGAATGGTCACTTTACATACATGTATGTATACAATCATAGTAAATAAACAGGTATAAAAACTTACCTATCCTTGTGGTCTTGCAACATGTGGATGGTTATCTATTTAAAATTCAAAAACTTTTAAAACTGTAATGAACTATGTTGAGAATCTTCACTGTATGTTGGATGACCTAAAATCCCCCCCCCCCCAAAAAAAAAAATTTCATCAGCAAAAAAGTCTGGATCATAAATGATAGAAATATCCTTGTACAATATATGGTAATGGTATTCATGAGTACATATGTACTGGGAATATAATATGATTTATAATGGAACTACATAAATTATAGGATTATATTAATAAATGTGTTGCAATATTTATATAATGATGACACCTTCTTGGGGTATTGTATTTCAAAAACAGCCTATTTATTGTATTATTTCAAAAGCAGCATACTGCACAGGGGTATTAAACATATTTTACCAATCTTAAATATTGTAATACAAACTTATATGTCAACAATTACAATACAGTAGAGTAGCCTTGAAATTTAATAGCTATAAATTTTATTAGTAAAAATGACAAGGCTACCGTACTGTACTGTAACTGTTGACAAATGAGTTTGTATAACAATTTTATTGAAAATAGATTGCTAAAATAAATAGATTGCTAAAATATTCTTGTGTCTAGTTACATTTTTGTCTCATACTGTAGTAAAATTAGCTTTTGTTTTATCACTTGTTTAATATTTACATTGCAGTCTGGACTTTACCAGTGATTTATTTATTTTGCAATTAATGGAATCAATTGAAAAAGTTAACAATTTTTCTATGAAGACCATGACAAATACAAATCAAGTGCAATAAACATTGTATCCTAAAAATCATATCTGCCATGACCTGACCTAGACTCCTGTCATTTTTTTTTATATAAAAGCAGTAAGATAAAATGATAAGATTCCAACGTTATTCAAAATATCATGAAAGATAACCAACAAAAATAGCATAAATAATAAGGAATTCACTTACCTTAATATCTTTATCAGTGGCGTACCTACCAATACGCCAATACGCACGGGCGTATATAAGAAAAAAATTCAAAAATAAAATTTCAAAAATGAAATCATTAATTTGGGCGTAGATCGATCAATATATTGTTAGCTGCTGATTGATTCTACAGGTATGCTTAGGATGTTACCTTATTCTAATATGTGTTACCTTTTTATGCACAATCAAAACTTCAATTAAGAAAGAGAGTAAAAATATGATATAAACAAGTTCTTTGGAATTTTCTATTTTTTCAGCTTGAGTTAACCGTTATAATGCTAATAAACCTCTTCAAAATCCAAATGAGGATAAGAAATTGTCCAATATATTACAATCATTTTTTTTTCAGAATAATCAAATCAGTGAACATTTTTTTCATTTTTTACATCTAGATCTATATGCAAAATAAAGATCTTGTTTGCAACTTGGCGTTTTCAGCACAATGGAAGGGAGTGAGTTAGCTCTATGGAATGTCTTGTTATATTTTACCTTGTAACGATAAATTAGTATATTATTTTTAAGTTAGTTATATATATATATTATACAATTATTGACTATATAATTATGTTTATACCAACATGCTTTATGCGCGTATGGCATTTAACTTCGTAATGAAATAACTTAAATATTTCGAATGGAAATTGAAAGGCTAGAGTTGAGAACAAAAATGTTAAAGACAATATTTATTGTCTACAACATTGACATAATACGCATTAAAAGGAAGCTAAATGATCGTGCGATACTACATTTTAGCTGCGAATACAATAAAATCTCGTTACATTAAACATTTAAGCTGTTGTGTTTGTATTAAAGTCATACAGATCATTTTAAAGCATATTTTCCTTGATTATATCTCATGTTAAGTTATGGTGAAACAAAAGAAAATAACAAAGATAAAACTAAACTTGTTACATAAAGGATATAAAACCCATCTTTTTACAAGAGAGATATCTGGCTATGTTTTGTTTTTCTAAAAGCAAATAACTTTTTTTTAACTATTTAAAACTGTGTACATGTTAGACTTTGTGCTTTTTTTCTTACATTCAATATATGTACTTGATGTTATTTTTATAACTATAGATAAAGACAATAGTAGTACAATTAGCTTAAATATCCCCTAAATCCTTAGCTATTGCACATAGCTATATTTGATATATAAGTCTCTGGCGATCTTTCGGCCACAAAACCGGCACTCGGCGCACACTCATTATAAGCCGAGTTACGCCCCTGTTTATAACTGTTTAAACCTCCAAATTTGCAGTATAAAACTGACAAAAAGAATCTACACATATGCATGATTGTCCCAAAACAGAACTCAAAGAGTGAAGGATAAAACTCTAAATTTCAAGTCGTTTCTTCGTAGACCCTAAATAGTAAACCGAAATGAGGCGGAGTAATGCCAACCGGACTACTTTACAAAATCGCACTGCGCTGTTATGAGCATAAACGAGTTGCATTTCAGCCATTCCGATAAAAAACATGAGAATATTTGGGTGCATGCTTTCCATGCTACCTAGACGAGTTGTAACGGATTAGTCAACACGGATTCATGTCAATGAACTATCTTGAAACATTGCTGAATCAAAATTTTCAAAAATTGGAAATAGTAGCTGTTATTTTACTTACATTTAATTTTAACTCAGACAAACTTCCACTAAATGAGGACTTTCCTTCAATGTAACTCATAATTATTTCTCATAGTATTCACATTGTTGAAATCAATATTAACAATAAAAATCTAAATGCTTTAACGGAAATGTATTCCAATCCTCTTATGTTAACCAGTCTCGCTATGTATAAACACTGAATACCTAACCCCTATAGGTGACTTGAATACAAAACTTTGATCATACCAGGAAGAACAATCTTTGCATGAATGATCATCTATAGAATTCTAATCTAAACATCTAATGTTATGCTATACTGTTGTGTTTACTCCACCGATAATAATACACGTGTTTGTTAATAAACTTATCTGTTATTACGATAAATAATATTTGGCACTAGCATGCTTTAGATTTTATATTATGTTGATGCTTTTGAAACTATATTTTTGTATTTTCTGATCGCAAGATCAGTAAATACAAAGCTAACATCCACGGTCTAACAGAAAATTTCCTCACAGACCTAACAACACAAAGTAGTTCTCACTTAAAACTGCTTAAAAACCAGCAATTTAAAAGAAAGAATAATTTTTAATGTAGACATTTAACGAATTACAGTGCATTAAAAGTTTAGATTAATCAGTAGAAATATGAGGTTACAATCACAAATTTCGCGGATGAATATCTTTTTTACCCAATGAAAAATGTTCGACTATTTCCGTAAAGCTTAATCAATGAAAATGCTATTTCGATTACCGAATACTCCAGAGCGTAGTACACAAATAAATCTGACTGTCGAGTAGTGGAATATATACATGTCGGGCTGTTTTGGCGAGAAGATTTTCGCTAAATCATTTTCATCAGTGTTTAACAACAGGTTTATCGTGAACAAAATACCTCGAAATTAATAAGGATTATAAACACGAAATGGAAATTCTCAATTTTAGAATTATAATGTATTTGTTTTTATTCAAGCTACATTCGTATTACTTCACCGTGGTGCAGAGGTAGCGCGCTCGTTTAGGGTGTGAGAGGCCTAAGGTTCAAATCCTAGTCCAGGCAACATTTTTTTTAAAAGTTTTTTTTAAGAAAGTAGCCACGATATGCAAGGATAAAGTGTGGCTGTCATAAAAAAATGAAAAATGATTTTTTTGATGTAACTCTAGGCATGCAAAATTCCATATGTATCAATCTCAAACAGTTATAGAAAAAAAAATCTAAACGCAGTCGCTGCGTAAGATGAATTATAGTATATAAAAATAAACTTATACAGGAAAGATCAGAAAATACCACAGAGCATGCAGCCCTTTGATTAAATACGGTTATGAGTACGAGTGTGAATGCATGTGTCGTCCATGTCTCTTTGTGTTTTTGTTTTTGTTGTTGTTGTTTTTTGTGTTTAATTTTTCTTTTCTTTTTTATTCTTTTTTGTTCTTTTTTGTAATCGTTGTTTGTCTTTTCTTTCACGACATTAGTTTGACATCTGGTATGCCCGTTCCTATGCATGAAAAAATAATTGTAAAACCACTGTGGCATGTGCTTCGACTCATAAATGGTTATGTGACGAAGCAGTGTACCTATAGGGGGCGGTACATTCTAGGATGGAAAAATATTTTAATAATTCCTATTTGAAAAAAAGAAAACATTTTTGAATGTGAATTTATGACGGGAAAAAACTCCTAAGACATAGATTTAAACATTTATTATTGTTGTATTTTGTTGTTGTTTTGTGTTTGGCGTATTTTTTTATTTTTATTTTTTTTTTTGGGGGGGGGGTGTTTTTGTTTGTTTGCTTACTTTGTTTTCAAGGGGAAGTGGTCTTTTTTTAAGTCTTAAAAGGATTTAAAGTGAAAATAAAAGAATAGCAGAATTTTTCTTTATCCTAGCATGTATCGCACCCCGTTGGTTGTAATTCGGCTCCACCTCTCTCGAGGAATATAGCAGGTGCATTGATTACAGGATTTTAATAACTTTTTCAAAGGCCCCGAGATGCAAACTACAGTCAGAACCCGAACCTGATCTTAAGCTTAGATTTAAATCATGTTTTTTTTCTCAAAATTAGATGGAAATATTACTTTAAAGAAAGTTCTTTTTAAAAGGCAAATTTTGTGCTTAAAAGAAATAAAGCGACTGGTATAGATAGTCGTTTATAGAACCAAGTGATATTTTATCTTTTGCATATCACAGAGCTATTCAATAGCATTATAGAATCTGGCATGTTTCCCGAACTCTGGAAAAGATGTTTTGTAGTACCTTACATAAACGAGAGCACCCCAAAGGAGGGACAATGTACACCCGAATGTAAACTTGTTTGAGTAATCAAAAAAAATGTTTCAGTTAAAGAGAGACCCAAGATACTGAAAAACGTTTTATCTCAACCATTCTTATGATACAATAATACAATATTACTTTCAAGGGTAGGGGCATATTTAACCCCAGGTGCATGATTCCTAAAACTTTAATACTAGGTCTACTAGGCAATGCAATATGTAGAATACAGAGGCATAGTGGGTATCCACAAAAAGATAAGATGCGTTTTCCTATACATTAGCCTGCTAAGCAAGTGATCCCAGGGCAGAGCTTCATTTTAACTGAGGGCAATGATTAATATATCGATTCTAGAAATCTGCAAATTGATTATGGCAAGTATCTAAGCTGTTGCCTTTGTAGTTTCACATGTTAGGATTAAAATAAGTTTTCAGATAATACAAGATATAAAATGTGATACCTCTGGGTATCGGCCGATATTGGCCCTAGGGGCATGATTTATATCAATTTTGTAAATGTCAACACGGCAATTCTACATGAAAGCTATTGAAACTCCGGACTCTGTAGTTTTACAAAAGACTGAAATGTGTTTTCTCATAAAGGACTATATCCAAACAAGTTGCGAGATGTCTTTTTATGCGGCCTTTTCCGTCAGTGTCCGGATAAGCTTCTCTTACTAGGAATAATCGGCGAGATTTTCCGAAACGGAATGGATCACTGTCTGTAGTGTAAAAACTTACGTACATGATATTTTCCGACTTTTCGTTAATGATGTGTTCACCTCAATGTTAATTTTTCGTTTTACAAAAATAAGTAATACTTCTGCAAAAACGATTTAAATTCTTTCTATCGGTTCAAAAGATACAGAGCGGACAAGAAAACTGACTGTGACCTTGAGCTGAGGAAGGTCAAACCTTCGCTCTGCATATCGTATAATTATGGATAACAATTCTGCCAGGACGATTCAATATCCTTTCACCGGTTGAATAAAATACAGACAGGACATGAAATTTCTAACAGTCGCACGGACGACCAGGTACATAACTATTTCTTGTGTATAAAAGAAAATGTACAATATTACAGAGGAATAACTTTATTGAGACATCTTGGTACATAGTTTACTAGCATTTTATATCAAAGGATAACTAAATGGTGCCATGAAAATAACATTATTCCTGATGCAAAGTGATGTAAAACATGGAAGAAATGAAGTTCTCAAACAAGTGACCTAAATCTCCATGCAATCTCAATTAAAAAAAAAACTCAAACAACTTTCCTTAATTGTGTTAAATGACATTATAGTCGTGAGCACAGTAACTTTCTAAAAAAATTGATCCCAAGTTGTATTCTCAATGTTCTTACAAGACTTTAACTTGTTCCCTTCTCGAAAATTCGAAGGATTAGATTTTCTGTCTAATAGTGTATGTCGCATTTAAGCACAAATGATTTTGAAGGTTTTCTTGAATTGTTTATGTTGTTTTATGCCAATGACACGGTTATATTTTAGCAGAAAGTCCTAATGTGTTACAAAAAGTATTAAATGCAATTTATAATTACTGTAATACTTGAAAGTTAAAACTGCAAACACAAAAATGTTGTATTTTGTAAATAAAATGGTATTGTATAGAGTTTGAGGGTAACATCCTAGAGATCGTTGATTGTTTTTGACTGTCTTGGTGTTCATTTTTCATTTAGTCGGAAAATGTTAGGGGAAAAAAAGGAAGAAAAATTAATCAAGCCCAAAAATGTTTTCTGTGTAAACAAAGTCTCTTCAGCTCGCCATGCAAGTCTTTTGGTTTATAGGGGAAAATGCGAGTCGCGTTGGAATTGATGGCACTAGAAATTAAATAAATATATGCGTCTTTTTAACAGTAATAATCAAGGAGGAAACATAAAATTTTACGGACAGACATGGAATGGAATTGACAAACAGACGTATGCGCAGTTCGGAATATTCTTTAAAACTTCGTTTATGGGGACTACTGATATTGAGAGTATATAATACTTGTTTATTAAGTGTCTCATCTTTGTACACAACGTCATATAAAATACATATAAAATACATTATGAATGTATATTGCCAATCTATACGATTTATAAAAGACAAAAAATGTTGAACAACTATTTACACATACAAATCTAAAAGAAACACCTTTACATATTAAAACCTGTGTTCAAAGGAATTTACTAAAGAAAATTATAATATTGGGATAACAATGTACCTTAAGTAAATATTTAATAACGGAACTCCAAAATTATGCAAAAATAATGGGTTAGACAAAACACCGTACGTAGCCGTTCTATGTATTACATGTAATTACTTTAATGTATGGCCGCAAAGGTGTGATTGAGTATGATTCCATTGTTGCTATAAAAAATGACCAAGTGTCACAGTTACAAAAAATAAAATCACCACTGTTACAAAAGATAAAATCACCACACTTATTTCTGCTTTCAACTTCTGAAGTTTTAACTGGTAATAGTCAGTTTTAACCTGATACAAATCTCTTTCCACTTTCAATTTATTCACTTCCTCTTTTAATTTCTTTGTCTCTTCTTGGATCTTCTCGATTGCAGCCTCGTTGTTTCTTTTTTCTGATTTTAATACATCTATCTGCAGTTGTTTTAAGTTTGCTTTAATAAAAGAAATCAATCGTGAAGTTGATAGTTTCAATATTGTTTGCATATAGGGTATAAATATGCTCAAAAAGGGAAAATGTAAAAAAAAAGATGTAAAATCTAGTTAAGTCTTGATAAAGAACTGAGATGTGCTTTTGTATGACATTATAACATTTCACATAAACTTTATGCTCGACCAACCGTTTGCGTCTTACAGATTAAATTAGATACAATGGAACTTAATATGAACATTACCGGTACAAGATGTCCGTTAAGTTCATATATGCCCAAAAAAGTAAACCAATGCCAAAACAACAAACTATAATAATCTCTTTGGAATAAATCAAGCAAAATGTCAATTCTATCATTCTAATTCTCGTTTTTAATACTATACTAAATGAAATTACTACAATTTTATTACCTGACAAGACACGTTCTTCTTCATCTTCACTGTTAGACGGTTTTCTAAATATATAAGATGTAATAAAACATAGTTAGTTCACCAAATAGTGCTACATTGCAATTACACGAAGTGGAATCAGTCATTTACAATACATGCTCTGTCATACCCTGTAAGTTACCTTTCGTATTATCTTAATTGTACACCATTTTTTTTCCATCGTCAGATGGTTCTGCTATGATCCTGAACAAAAGTTCCCTTGCTAAACAAATCATAACAAAGTATTTATGTTTTATTGAGAAATTGGTCAAAATTGCTACAAGCGAGGTTTTGCAAAATAGCAAGAAAAATCTTTACAACTTCATTAAGGGCCTTTTAAATTCTTTTTATAATATCTCAAAAACTTTAAAAATTAAGGCAACCGGAATGCTAGCTTCACATAAAAGATAAAATCAAAAACTTTCTCTATGTATTTTTCCATAACGTGTCGGAATATCAAAAGAACGTCAGAGCAGTTTTATATTTTTTTTACAAGAATTTAAACTAATCGGTTTTCGAAAAAACAAATAAAAAGATAATGACGGCCAACGACGGACAGAGGGAGACCACAAAATTTCAAAATGGGCAGGTTGTGATGTGAGCTTAATAAAAAGACAGTGTAAAACAACTTTAAATTTTTTAGACTGTTTGGCCTCTGGGCCTCTTGTTAAAAAAGAAAAAATAAACACAAACTTCTCTCAGTGTGATTTTGCTACTTATATGCACATTGAAGTGCATTAGAAGTGAATATGTAGTGCACCTCAGATACACTTTGTGTAACCGTTCATAAAGTTAAGAAGCTCCGAACTTCACGCCGCTTTTGGACGCCATGCCGTTGAGCTATTAACTTCGCGGCGCTTGGCCGCCAACTTCACACATCTTACTACTGGTAGTGCACCCCTTGACGCTCTGTTCGAAGGGATTCAAATAGGGTGTGGCAATGCTCAATGATAGTTCATTTGAAAAAAGACAGACAGTTTTATCTACATATAACATTATATACTACATTAATTAAGCAACTAAGCTTTTACTTTAATCATACTTACAATTTATAAATTTTACAGCATGCCAAAATAGCAAGTGATATTGAATCAAATGGAGCAACCAAAAGTGAAGAAAATGACGTTATGGTCCTGGTATTGAAAACAATTTAATCGTCCTAAATGTTTTACTTTAAAGAATAATATCTGAATCAAAATTTTAAAGCTGCTTTAAATAATATGAACAATATTTTTGTAATAATAACATAAATGTATTCTACTTCTCTGGGTTGAGGTATTTACTCAGCTTTTCAGCTCTGTCTAGGTATTGGATACATTTTGCTCTTATACTCTGCTTTGCTTTATCACTCTGTGCTTCATCTAACAAAATAATTAATCAACCAGTTTAGTATTTACATTTTTGTATTGATTGGTTGGGTTTCACGTCGAACCAACAAAGTAGAGGTCATTTGGAGATTTTCCGTAAGCTAGTTGAATAGCTTCCTCACATGAAAGAAACCCAATCTCTGGAACATTTTCCTGCTATCCCTAACAGAATTCGAAATCTCAACGGTGAATTGCAAGTGGTTTGTAGTCAACGATCTTAACGATCTCAACACACCTGATTAACCACACATGATTTGCATTGATTAAGGAGATATCTGTACTATAGACACATTATAAAAACAATTACTAAAAGTAATAAATGTCTTTTTTAAAGGAATTAGAAATTCATAGAAACCAACTCGTTGTTAATTTTATACGGTAAATAAGGACTTCATACAGCAAACTTCGTATCAGAACAGTGCTTTACATTCTAACACTCAGAAGCATACACTCTATTAAGAGACATTAAAACAAAAACAAAACTTCAATCTGAAATCAATAATAAAAGGTTTATATACTGTTCAAAGCTTGTAGTGGCTCTTGTAAACGAAACCGTTCCAAAAGGGGTGAATAAACATTAGTGATAGCCCCAGCAATCTCTGATGCAAACGTAAAGATAAAAATCATATTTCTACTCACATTTGATTGCATAAAGAAAATACTCTACTCCATGCTCATACAGCTTTAAGGCTTCGTCATAATTTTTCTTTTTATCTTCTTCTGTCGCATTTGTTACAAGCTCAATAGCTTTCTATAATTTGAAGAAGATATTTGATGATAGAACACATACTAGTAGTAGAGAACAAAAAAGTATGTGTTTTATTCCATAGCTTTTTGGGTCATCGTACATGTATATTGTTAAGAAATCAAAAACTGCCATATTTTGTTCATGTATGTTTTTGTCTAATTAACTTGTTAATTTTGTTGATTTTTGTCAAAAACTTACTTTATCAATTCGGTAAGCAATTTTGGATATCTTTTTACCTAGAATGTCCTTTCATTCAACGTGAAGCTATGCTAATCTTCTTATTTTTATGATTTTTTTCCCCACTTTAGGGGGGGGGGCATTTACATTTACCCTTGTCCGTCCGTCCATTCGTCGCATGTAACTCAAAAAGTATTTGACCTAGAGTCATGAAACTTTACAGGAATGTTGATCAGCCTGTGCAGTTGTGCACCTGGGTATTTTCGTGTGAATTTATTTAGTATTTTAGAGTAATTGCCCTTGACTTAGTAAAATTTTGCAATTTTCAACTTGTGTCGCACGTACTTCAAAAAAGTATTTGAACAAGAGCCATGAAACTTTACAGGGATGTTGATAAGCATGTGCAGTTGTGCACCTGGGTATTTTCGTGTGGATTTATTTAGTATTTTTAGAGTTATTGCCCTTGACTTAGTAAAAAAATTGCAATTTTCAACATGTGTCGCATGGAACCCAAAACTACAATATATTGAAGAATTGGTATCATATATTGAGAAAATCAACTTATATATTGCTACCTCGGTTTCATACACTGACGGAATGGTTTCATATATTGTACATAGGATTTATATAATGATTTCCGGTTTAATAAGAAGGTGTTTTCAATTCATATATTGTCGAAGCGAACTTATACTAGTATATTATCCAAATGGTTAAATAAATTGAAAAAGAACAATGTAAGACAGCCATGGCTTTCCATACAGTATAACAAAAGACATGTGATAGTACACCCCATCAAAAACATGAGAATGTCGGGATGCTATCTGGACGAGTTGCAACGGATTAGTCAACGCGGATTCATGTCAGGGGACTATCTTGAAACATTGCTGAATCAGAATTTTCAATAATTGAAAAGAAATCTGTTTGATACTTGTGATAATATAAAAATTAACTTATGGTGCTTAGCAAAAGTTGAGTAGTATATGTATTGATTTATTTACATAACGTGGTGCTCGTGCCGGCCATATAACTTCGCTATTCTACCTTGCTATTACATAATTCAAGTGCTATTTTCGCATTCTTGCGTTACTATATTACAAGGTGGACATTATTTACATGTAAAAAAACATTTCCTACTTCCTTTTCGGTAAAATAGTAGCAGTTATTTTACTTACACTTAATGCTGTCTCCCCAAAACTTACACCAAATGAGTCCTTTCCTGTAGTGTAACTCATTATTTCTCATAGTATCCACATTGTTGAAATCAATAATAAAAATCTAAATGCTTTAACGTAAATTTATTGCAATCCTCTAATGTCTCGGTATTCAAAACACGGCATACCTTATCCCTATAGGTAACATGTATACAAAACGTATACACCAGGAAGAACAATTTTTTGCATGAATAATCATCTATAATTTTAAATATCTATTTTTTATGTTATATTCTTGTGTTTATTCAGCCGACAATAAAGAAATTCAAATAATACACGTTCTATCACGATAATTAATATTTTGCACTAAGCAGTGTACCAATAGGTGACGGTACGGTACATTCTAGGATGGATTTTTACAGGATTAGATAGAAATACTACTTTAAAGAAAGTACCTTTTTAAAAGGCAATTTTTGTGCTTTAAAGAAATAAAGCGATAGGAATAGATAACCGTTTTTAGAACCAAATGATATTTTATATTGTCATATCACAGAGCTCTTTAATAATATTGTAGAATCTGGCATGTTTCATGAACTCTGGAAAGAGGTTGTGTGGTACCAATACATAAACAAGAGCACCCCAAAGGCGGGGCAATGTACGCCCGATTGTAAACTTGTTTGAGTAATCAAAAATAATCTTTCTATAAGAGACACCCAATCAAGATACTGAAACACGTTTTATCTTAATTATCCGGTATACAGCTCTAGGCATTGAGACATATTAAGTCTCAGATGTGCTTTACCTATCTATATAAGTGTATATAAATCAAGTGACCAAGGGGACAAGCCAATTTTGGCAAAAAGGCATGATTCATATCAGTTTTGTATTGGTCAATATTGCGATGCCACATGCTTAATATCTAAACTCTATGCATTGTAGTTTTGTAAATGTCAAAACACACAATAAAACTTAAATGTGTGCCTAGATAAAACTTAAATATAAGTGATCCCCGGGGCGGGTGAATTTCGATCTAAGGAAACCCAAACCAGCGCTATAGGCATCGTCTCATGTTATATTTATACAAAACCGTTTTAATTTCTTTCTACCGGTTCAAAAGATACAGAGTAGACAAGGAATTTTGAAATTCATTTAAACTGTGACTTTGACCTGAGGATGTAAAAACCTTCGCTCTGTATATTGTATAAATTATGGTTAACAATTCTGTCAAGACGATTCAATATCCTTTCACCAGTTGACTAAAATACAGACCGAACATGAAACAGCTAACATACGGATGGACGACTAGGTACATTACTATTTCTTGTGTATGAAACGAAATAAAGAAAATGTACAAATTTGCAGAGGAACTTTATTGAGACATCTTGGTTCACAGTTTACTAGCATTCTATCCCAGTCTTAAGTTCATCGTTCTGGTTTTATTTTTAAGTTCATGGCTATGTCTGACTATAAATGACCGATTAATCATTAACGAAACGTTTGAAAATTAGTATCATGATAACTTTTTTCAATTTGATATTTTATTTCATCTGAAGCATGCTTACAATAACATCCATCGTACACTGATCAGCCTTGGTTTGGAGTTTCTTCTATGTAAAGGAAAGTTGTTATAAATGCACTGCATGTTTAAAATGTTCATTTTGTTAAGATTTTAACGTTTAAAATTACTTTAATTTAAGGGTTTACGAGTTATGTATGATGTTTTTTATCCTTATTGATATGAACGTCCATGTCAAAGTAAAAATTAGATCTAGTTTATCACTAAAATTGAACCCTGTTAAAATCTTATAACTACAATAGTCCATTAGTCAAAAAGGAGAGAAATTCGGATTTTAATAGAACATTTCTTCATTAGAATATAAAGTCATGCCGAGTTTCACAATCTTAGTAACAGCATGAAAAAAGGCTATTTTCCTTTAATAATCCATTTTCTTAAATGACACAAGGGTAAAAGCTTAAACGTTAACAAGCAGAGAGTAACAGTTCCTATGTATTGCATCACTAACTGATGACACCTCGCATCTTTGCATCTATAAGGTTGGTACCTTAGAGTAATGGTTTAAACAAAATTTAAATAAGAAAAATACCAAATGAGAATAACTAAAAAAGAAAAGAAGAGCTGCACTTCGCCTCAATATGACATATTTTTATAACAAAAAAATGTTTAAATAATATGTTCTAATCAAAGTATGGAGGACGCACAGCCAAAGGGAAATTGCCCATCGTGATTATCATATATTTGAAATGAACAAATGGCAAATAATAATAATTAAACAAATGGCCTTACTGTAGTAAAACAAGAACATAGATTTCCTTATTAATAAAGTGCTCGTTGTAAAAATTATAACAAAAGATCCAATTGGTCTTCTAATAAATGTTACAACTCTACATTGTCTATAACATAGAAATTTCCACCAATGCCAGTTTCTAGAACAAAATCACGTGTGAATTCTTCGTGTTTTCTCAACTCATCGACATTTACAGTTGCCTTCTGTGTTTGCAGTGACATTAAGATATCACTCTGAAATCAAATATTTAAAATATATGAAATTAAGTCCATAACAGAACTTAAATTACTGAAATACTTAACTAGAAAATGAAAGAAATTCAAAATCAGAGAAACATAAGAAGAAAGTTCGTTTAGATTTATTATAAATAAGACGCCTACTATTTCAGAAAGATCCTTTGTATCATTTTATCAATTTTAGAATGGCCAATGAGATTCCCAGATTTCAGTTTGTAATTTTAAAATGACCAATGAAAATTCTACTGATATTCAATTATTCCCTGTAAATTTCACAGGAAGTTAAACTGATTTTAGACTGCTTTCGGGTGAATACAATATTCAATGCTCATGGTAAGGATTAAACATTACTAAATGAGAATTTAATATCGGCTTTGCGTAAATGTGAAAACTATTTAATAAGATAAGCTTCTGTCCTGGGAAACTTAAGAACATATAATAAACAAGATCAACAAGGAAAGGCGGCGTTCAATGAATGCAACCCCCATACGACCAAGCAACAAGAACCAGTGGCAAGGAGCCCAGACGGACCCCAAACAAAAACAAGACAGCGCACAAGACAGAGCACAAGACTTATAACCTTAAGTGAAATATAAAGAAAATCAAGTATACCAAATTGACAACA